CTTACCTCATTATTTGGTGTCTGTGGTATCTACTGCTGCATAACAAACTACCCCCAAAATTAATGATGCAAAACACCCAACATGTTACCTCAAGGTTCATGACAGCCAAGAAACAGAAGTTTGGGTGGTTCTGACTCCAAATCTCTTGAGGTTTAATTCAAGATATCAGCCTGGCCATGCCATTGGAAGTATTGCCTGGGTTGAGGATCTGTTTCCATGTGAATTCATGAAATCTCAGTTCCCTACCACAAGAGCGTCTGCAGCATCCTGGTGGTGCCTATTCACAACCCGGCAGTCGACTATCCCCAGAGAAAGAGACCTAAGAAGCGAAGGTGGGAGGAAGCACCAGCATCTCACATGCCCTAGACATAGAAGGCACATCCTGCCACTTGCTTCACGTGTTAGAAACAAGCCTGCACGTCCAACCCTCACTAAAAAAAGGGGGGGGGGAGAACTGTACTCCACCTTTTGAGGGGAGATGGGGATGTATTTTTAAACAACCGTATGCTGGCATCTGGGTATCTAAACTCCTTACTAGATTCAGGGTTCTTAGAGAATTGCATTTGCATTGCATCCTGTTCTCTGTTTACTACTATGTCTCTGGCACATTCCATAGGGCCTGACAAATATAGGCATTCAATCCATATTTAGTGAATAAATGGAATAAAGTTTCTATTGAATCCTAGCTCTGGGGAACTTTGTGCAAATTATATGCCTTTGTTTCTAGTTTTGGAAAATGGGAATGTAGTTACCTCTAGCTTGTAAGAAATAAATAACAGTCTGTATAATGTATCCAGCACAGACAAACACGAAAGGGCCTCATTAAATGTTTTTTCTCTATCTTCCTTGCTTCAGTTACACTTGCAAACCATCCCAAGCTATATGCCTCCTTCTCCTCATGATCTCTCCCAAACTTCCAGCCTGTTACTCCTGTTCAGTTGTTACTGCACTCTTCTTGAACATTCTTTTAGGCTCGCAATTCTTGCCTTTTGTTTCTACCTAGTGAAATCCACCCCCACACACTCCAAACAGCTTTATTATCTTTGGGTCCAGGCTTCATCACTCACTCCTCTTTTCAAAATGTTTATTTTTCCAAACTCTCCTCACAGCCATGACCCAGCAGAAGTTTGTGAGTTAATGTGTCACTATCCCCTACACATATTCCAGGGGAGACTACTTACTGACCTTGAGGTGAGACTCTCACTCTGTTTCCCAAGACTGTGTGTGTCTCTGCTCATGCCATTCTTTCCATCTTTAAGCCCCTCTTACAACATTTTATTGCATTTGAATTGTAGTTGTGTGCATTCCTGAATTTTAGGAGCTAGAATATGTATGCTATTTCTGTTAAAAATTC